TTTTAGTAGAGACGGGTTTCACCATATTGGTCAGGCTGGTCTCCAACTCCTGACCTCAGGTGATCCACCCACCTCAGCCTCCCAAGGTGCTGGGAATACAGGCGTGAGCCACTGCTCCCAGCCGAGGCAACAACAAGACATCTGTCGATGAACCCTCACCAGACACCAAATTTTTTGGTGAGATGATGTGAAATTCCCAGCCTCCAGAACTCTAATACTGTCTATTGTTTATAACCCACCCAGTTTATGACATTTCGTTACAGCAGCCTGAATGGGATAAAACGGTATGTGTGTAATTACCTTCTTAGCACTGCGTTTGCTCGAATCTGTAAGTTTTTGGTATGTTATGTTTTTTATTTCTTTTATCTCAAGATAATTTCTGACTTCCCTTGTGATTTCTTTTTTGATACATTGGCTAGTTAAGAGTATGTTGTTTAGTTTTTCTTTTCTTTTTATTTATTGAGACAGGGTCTTGCTCTGTCACCCAGGCTGGATGGCAGTGGTGCAATCTCTGCTCACTGCAGCCTCCCTCTGACTTCCAGGTTCAAGTGACTTTCATGCTTTAGCCTCCCAAGTAGCTGTGATTACAGGTGCCCGCCAGCATGCCCAGCTAATTTTTATATTTTTATTACAAACAGGGTTTCACCAGGTTGGCCAGACTGGTCCCAGACTCTCGACCTCAGGTGATCCACCCACCTGGGCTTCCCAAAGTGCTGGGAGTACAGGTGTGAGTTACCACATCTGATCTAATTTTTCAAACAATGGAAACATTTGTGATTTTTTAAAAGTTCTCCTGTTAATTTAATGTGACTAGATATGATGCTTTGTATACTTTCTGTCTTTAAAGTTGATTAATCCTTCTCTTCTGGGCTAATATATTGTCCATCCTTGAGAATGTTCCATGTGCACTTGAGAAAAATGTGTGTTCTTCTGCTGTTGGATGCAGTGTCCTGTGTATGTCTGCTAGGTCCAATCGGTTGATGGTGTTGTTTTGTTTATTTTCTTAATGATCTTCAGTCTAGTTTTCTACTCATTGTTAAAAGTGGCATATGAGGGCTGGGTGTGTTGGCTCATGCCTGTAATCCTAGCACTTTGGGAGGCCAAGGTGGGCAGATCACCTGAGGTCGGGAGGTCGAGACCAGCCTGGCCAAGAAGGCAAAACCCTATCTCTACTAAAAATAAAAAGAGCCAGGCATGGTGGCAGGCACCTGTAATCCCAGCTACTTGGGAGGCTGAGGCAGGACAATCACTTGAACCTGGGAGGCAGAGGTTGCAGTGAGCCAAGATCACACCATTACACTTTAGCCTGGGCAACAGAGTGAGACTCTGTCTCAAAAAAAAAAAAAAAAAAAAAAAGTGGAATATTAAGGTCTCCAACTGTTTTTTTAGAACTGTATTTCTTCCTTAAATTTTGTCAGTTTGCTTGATGCATTTTAGGGCTGGGAAGTTCATGACATATATGTTTATGATTATCATGTTTTCTTGGTGAATTGGCCTTTCTATTAATGTAATACCTTATCTTTTGCAATTTTTTTTTGACATAAAGTTTATTTTGTCTGATATTAGTATAACAACCCAAGCTCTCTTTTGGTTACTATTTGTGGGGAATATATTTTCCATCCTTTAACTTTCAGTGTTTAAATTATTTGTAGAGATGGAGTCTCTTTATTTTTCCCAGGCTGTTCTTGAACTCCTGGGCTCAAGTGATCCTCTTGCCGTGGCCTCCCAAAGTGTTGGGATTACAGGTGTGAGCCACTGCAGTTAGTCCAATTCAATGATTTTAGTATATTTAGTATATTTACAGAATTATGTAACAATCACCAAAATCTAGTTTAAGGACATTTCATCATCCCAGAAAGAAACTCGTGCCCATCAGAGTCACTTTTCAGTCTCATTCCCAGCCCTAGTGAACCAGTAAGCTGCTTTCTATCTCTATATTAGGCTGTTCTGCACCTTTCACATAAACGAAATCATGCGACGTGTGTTCTTTTGCAGCTGGCTTCTTTCCCGAAGCCTTGCGTTGCTGAGGTCGATCACTGTGGTAGCATGCCTCAGAACTCATTTTTGATTGCTGAATAGTATTCCTTTGTAATCCCCACATTTGAATTCCTTCGTCAGTTGATGGGCATTTGGCTTGTCTCCACTGTTTGGTTCTTGTGAGTGGCGTTGTTGTGAACATTCACCCACAAGTCTTTGTGGGAACATACATTTTCATTGTTCCTGGTTAGATACCTAGAAGTAAAGTTGCTGACTTTAAGGCACTTTGACTTTATTTTATTTTATTATTATTTTTGTCCTGAGCCCCTTGCAGTTCTGCTAGAGAAGGCGATTTTATTTTTAACATTTTGAGAAACTGTCATACCATCTTCCAAAAAAGGGGCTGTAGCATTTTACATTCCCACTGGCAGTGTGTGAGGGCTCTGTTCTCCACGTCCTCTCCAGCACTTGGTGTCACGCGTCTGCTTGGTTGTAGTTATTCTAGTGGGTGGAAAGAGACATCGCGTTTTGAATTAATTTGCATTTTCCTAGTGACTGACGATGTTGAGCACTTTATAATGTGCTTTTTGGACATTAAAATATTATCTTTGGAGAAATGTTTCTTCATGTTCTTTTCCCATTTTTAAGTTGGATTGTCTTTTAATATTGAGTTGTAGGAGTTCTCCTGGATATATCGGTTGTTAGACACATGATTTATAAATCTTTTCTCCCATTCTGCGGCTGTCTTCCCCTTCCTTGATTGTATCTTTTGCTGTGCCAAAGGTTTAAATTCAGCTGATGCTCAATTTTTTATTTTCTTGCTTTTTCCCTTTCCTCCTTTTCCAGGTCTCACTAGGTGGCCCTGACTGGTCTTCAGCTGTGCTTTTGATGTTGTATCTAAGACATCAGTGCCTTACACAAGATCACAAGAATTTACTCTTACGTTTTGTAAGAGTTTCATTGTTTTTAGTTTTACATTTAGGTCTGTGATCCCTTTTCAGTTAATTTTTGTGTATGGTGTTAGGCAGGGACCCAGATTAATTTATTTGTACATGAATATCCAGTTGCCTTACCACCGTTTGTTGAAAAGTCTATTCATGGTTGGAAACAGTAGTTCATGACTGTCATCCCAGCACTTTGGGAGGCCAAGGCTGGAGTATTGCTTGAGTCCAGGAGTTTAAGGCTACCATCTGCCTAATTCTCCCCATAATTTTTCCAACATCTGCCTAAAAATTGTTGCATTTGCGATGACATGGATGAAACTGGATGACATGATGCTAAGTGAAATAAGCAGAGCACCGAAAGACAAACCCTGCATGATGTCATTCATGTGTGGATCCTTAAAAAGTTGAACTCTGCTTAGGAACTGATTCATTAAAGAAAATGGAAAGAAAGAAAGAAAAGGAAGAAAGAAAAAATGTTGAAGTCATAGAAGCAGAGAGTAGAATGGTGTTTACCCTGGGCTGGGTGTGGGGGAAGAATTAGGCAGATGTTGGAGAAATTATGGGGAGAATTAGGCAGATGTCAGCCTTAAACTCCTGGACTCAAGCAATACTCCAGCCTTGGCCTCCCACCACCGTTTCCAACCACGAATAGACTTTTCAACAAATGGTGGTGAGGCAACTGGATATTCATGTACAAATAAATTAATCTGGGTCCCTGCCTAACACCATACACAAAAATTAACTGAAAAGGGATCACAGACCTAAATGTAAAACTAAAAACAATGAAACTCTTAGAAAACATGAGTAAATTCTTGTGATCTTGTGTAGGGCAGTGATGTCTTAGATACAACATCAAAAGCACAGTTGAAGACCAGTCAGGGCCACCTAGTGAGACCTGGAAAAGGAGGAAAGGGAAAAAGCAAGAAAATAAAAAATTGAGCATCAGCTGAATTTAAACCTTTGGCACAGCAAAAGATACAATCAAGGAAGGGGAAGACAGCCGCAGAATGGGAGAAAAGATTTATAAATCATATGTCTAATAACCGATATATCCAGAAGAACTCCTACAACTCAATATTAAAAGACAATCCAACTTAAAAATGGGAAAAGAACATGAAGAAACATTTCTCCAAAGATAATATTTTAATGTCCAATAAGCACATTATAAAGTGCTCAACATCGTCAGTCACTAGGAAAATGCAAATTAATCCAAAACGCGATGTCTCTTTCCACCCACTAGAATAACTACAACCAAGCAGACGCGTGACACCAAGTGCTGGAGAGGACGTGGAGAACAGAGCCCTCACACACTGCCAGTGGGAATGTAAAATGGTACAGCCCCTTTTTTGGAAGATAGTATGACAGTTTCTCAAAATGTTAAAAATAAAATCGCCTTCTCTAGCAGAACGGCAAGGGGCTCAGGACAAAAATAATAATAAAATAAAGTCAAATTGCCTTAAAGTCAGCAACTTTACTTCTAGGTATCTAACCAGGAACAATGAAAATGTATGTTCCCACAAAGACTTGTGGGTGAATGTTCACAACAGCGCCACTCACAAGAACCAAACAGTGGAGACAAGCCAAATGCCCATCAACTGACGAAGGAATTCAAATGTGGGGAGTACAAAGGAATACTATTCAGCAATCAAAAATGAGTTCTGAGGCATGCTACCACAGTGATCAACCTCAGCAATGCAAGGCTTCGGGAGAGAAGCCAGATGCAAAAGAACACACGTCACATGATTTCGTTTATATGAAAGGTGCAGAACAGCCTAATATAGAGATAGAAAGCAGCTTACTGGTTGACTAGGGCTGCGAATGAGACTGAAAAGTGACTCTGATGGGCACGAGTTTCTTTCTGGGATGATGAAATGTCCTTAAACTAGATTTTGGTGATTGTTACATAATTCTGTAAATATACTAAATATACTAAAATCATTGAATTGAACTAACTGCAGTGGCTCACACCTGTAATCCCAACACTTTGGGAGGCCACGGCAAGAGGATCACTTGAGCCCAGGAGTGCAAGAACAGCCTGGGAAACATCTCTGCAAATAATTTAAATGCTTTAACAGGTGTGTTGGTACAAGCCTGTAGTCTCAGGTACTCAGGGAGGTGAGGCAGGAGAATCACCTGATCCCAAGAGGTTGAGGCTGCCGTGAGCCATGATGGCACCACTGCATTCCAGCCTTGGTATCAGAGTGATAACCCTGTCTCTCTCTCTCTCTCTCTTTCTCTCTCTCTCTCTCTCTCACACACACACACACACACACACACACACAATCATTGTACACTTAAAATGGGTAGATTTTAGTTTGTAAATTACACCTTTATAAAGCTGTTAATTTTTAAATTATTTTTAATTTTTTTTTTTTCTTTTTTTGAGACAGAGTTTTGCTGTTTTTACCTAGGCTGGAGTGCAATGACGCAATCTCAGCTCACCACAACCTCCACCTCTCAGGTTCAAGTGATTCTCCTGCCTCAGCCTCCCAAGTAGCTGGGATTCCAGGCTCCCGCTATGGTGCCTGGCTAATTTTTTGTATTTTTAGTACAGATGGGGTTTCATTATGTTGTTTAGGCTGGTCTGAAAGTCGTGATTTCATGTGATCCACCCATCTCGGCCTCCCAAAGTGCTAGGATTACAGACACGAGCCAGGCAGTTTTTTTAAGTTCTAAAATTATACTATTTGCCCCTAGCACCAAGATTGTAGTCTCAAAATACCGTTGCCCAATGAAAGGAAACAAGGCTTCCTGGACAAAGTGCTGATTTCAGGTCTAGGCCAGAAATGTGTAAGGAGCCTGGAACATACTATCACTCTGGATAGCAAAGAATCTATCAAAGATTATTAGGATGATTTCAACATGTCCGAAGGGCCAATCTGAAGGGCCTCCTTCTAACCAAAGATAGGACATTTTGTACATTAGTAAGGATAATAGTTGCAGTGAATTGAGATATATCAGATATGTTTGAATATCTGCATTCATAATGATCCTTTTGAAAAAATAAAAGTGGGCTGGCACAGCTCCTCGTGCCTGTAATTTCAACACTCTGGGAGGCTGAGTTAGGAGGATCACTTCATCCAGGAGTTCAAGACCAGCCTGTGCAACACAGGGACTTTGTCTCAACAGAAGATTTTTTAAATTACTCAGGTTTGAGGGCTCATGTCTTTGGTCTCAGCTACTCAGGAAGCTGAGATGGGAGGGTCACCTGAGCCTAGAAGTTTGAGGCTATAGTGGCATGACTGCTTCTCTGCATACCAACCTGGGCAACAGAGCTAGACCCTCCCTGTCTAAAAAAATTAATTAATAGAAGTGGTCACCATTGAAGGATATAAATGAAACAGCCCATGATTTTGAAAAATGGTAAACAAGAAATCAAGCCATGAACTGGTGTTTTCTATATAAGTTGTACAAGTGAGTAACAGTTCATAAGAAGCAGCATCTCTTTTTTATATTTACTTCAGTTTTTTCTTAATGCAAGGCTCTGCTTGGGGTAGCAGTGTCTCTTTCTTCATGCACGGCCCTTCTTAGGGTAGCAGTATCTCTTCGACGGGTGGCAGCTCATAAACGAAGAAGGAATGATACAACAATGCCTTCATTGTTCAATCCTTAAGTGATCAATGGCCATTAACACCACCAATTAAAAAAAAAAAAGATATCCAGAGAGCACACACCTCCTCCCAGAAGAAACTAGCACAGCCTTTTTGTCCTGAATCAAGTCCAGCCTGAATCTCACCAAGTCTTGAGATTAAACTACTAATTTATCAAAACTAGAACAAAGTGAAGAGCAAGTTAACCAACATCACAAGATACAATTAGCAAAATTCACAGTATGAGAAACAGCATAATGAGAATACATTTAGCATAATTCAAAGTGTGGGGAAATGGCCTGATTTATTCAATAAATGGATTGCAAGGGACAGCACAGAGATGAAAGTGGGAAGCTGTCAGGATCAAAAAAACCCGAAGAGGCGAATCACACAATCCCAAAGGGAGACTTTATTTGGATCCTGATTCAAACAATAAATACATGAAATGACTGAAAATTTGGAGCTAGAAGGAGAGTTGACAGTGATAAAGAGCAATGGTGTGAGATGGTTGGTTGATGATGGTATTGGGATTATATTTTTTAATGACTTCTTGTCTCCAGGCACGGCGGTTCACACCTATAATCTCAGTAGTGTGGGAGGTCAAGGCGGGAAGATCCTTTGAATCCAGGAATTGTAGACCAGCCCAGGCAACATAGCAAGACCCTGTCTCTACTAAAATGCAAATAAAAAGATGAGCAGGGCATGGTGTGAGTCTGTAGTTGCAGCTACTCAGGAAGTTGAGGCAGGAGAGGCCACAGTGAACCAAGATCATGCCACTGAACTCCAGCCTGGGTGACAGAGACCTCATGTTGAAAGAACAAACAAGAATCGTATCTTTTACAGACATCCACCAAGACGGTCAGGGAGGAAATTCTGTGATGTGTGGGATTTGCTATAAAATCAACAAATATCTGAATCTGATGCTGAGTAGGTGGAAGCTCACTACACTAGCCTCTTGTTCCAAAAAGCTCTAGAATAGAAAGTTTGTCTAAAAATCCACTTCAGGGATTTGTAACAAGCATTGAATAAGATCATGTATACAGAGTGTTTTCTCACCACGGCTTGCAGGTAGTCAGCACACAAACATGGTTCTTAGTTTTGTATAGTCCCCGTTTATGAATCACACCCAAAAAAGGTATGTTTTTCACACCAAGAGCTCTGGCCCATGGACCTTTGTCCACTTGGTGGTAATTCATTGGACTCTGAGGTTTAGAATGAGGAAATACCAGCCTTCAAAGCCCCAGGCCTGCTATGAAATAGCAAAGCCAATGGTCCCAGATGACTTCGTAGCACACCTAGTAAGTAGGACCCTTTTCTCTCACCTTGTAGGCACACTTGAGTCCATGCACTCATTTTTCATTCATTTCTTATATGCCGTGTATTGGGTACTAGGGATCCATAATACAGTGGACCCACAATTGACTGGAAGCATCGCTTTCAAAGCATCATTTCAGGATGAGTATTTCGTGTCAAGTGGATTCAAGGAACAGTGCGAAGGATCCATGGCCTCAATCACCATGAAGAGCCTCCCAAGAGCCAACCGTCCTGGGCACATGTAAGTGAGTGGAGACATGGAACTCACCCTTACAAGGCCTAGAACCTGACAGATCATACAAGACAGAAGCCCAGATAACTAAGAAGGGGACGCTGAAGGTGAGAGGTGGGCCCCAAAGGATTCTGTGAAAATGCTTTGTGTTTGTGGATTTGATCACGCAGAATGAAACCTTTGTTTTTATTCACAGGTTAGACACACTGTATATAGAATCTATGAAGGGACATTGCTGAATTTTTTGAGGCCTGTAGTGAAAATTGGATTATCTCAGGCAGCTCAGGATAATGCAGTCACCAAGAGGGGCAGGGTGGCCACAGGTGGCCAGCAGCAGGAATGGGCATTGTGAGCCATTGGATGGGGTTGTGAGAAGTGGCATTGTGAGTCACTGGCCTGACTGTTGTTTCCTGGCAATCAGGTGACATAGGAGGCTTTGTGGGAGACAGGCATCAGCCAGGACCAGCAGCCTTCAGTCGGAAGCTGGTAGTGGGAGGAGGAGGAGCTCCGACTGCTGTCACAGAAGTGTTTGTGCCCTTGGCGCTTGCTCTGTTGCTTTGTTTTTTCCTTTATTTTATTTTATTTTATTTTGTCTGTTGCTTTGTTTTTTCTTTTTCTTTTTATTTTATTTTATCTTGTGTTCCTTTCTTTTAAAAATCCCCTTGTAGATCACACATGGGGAATTGTCTACGTCCCAGCGCTGGCCCGAGTTGTGCCTGCTGCGGGTCTTGTGGCCAGTCTGTGACATCCACCACTGCAGAGCCTGCCGTGTTAAATCCCGGAGTGGTGGAGGTCCAGGACACGCAGCCCATAAAATCAAAAAGGCGCAAAGGTAAAGAAGCCATGGGTGCCATTTGCTCTCTGGCACATCTCTGGCCACTACCTCCCCACCTCCTTCCCATCCCCTCACCCCAGCCAGAGACATCCTCAGCTTCCAGCTCCCTCCTGCCTATAGCCAGCTTTCCCGGGGCTGGGCATGGGGGACAAAGGCTAGTCCTGCCTCTTGTCTTCGTTGTTGAGCCTTCTTGCTTGAGGCCTTTTTGGTCTAGTCTCTCCCTTTCCCCGATGAAAATTCAGATACTCCAGTTTTGGAGTCTCCATCCCATTCTCTAGCCTTGGCTGTCCAGCTACTATGGCACCTCAGTGAAGGAGCCGGTCAAAGGCCCAATGATTTCTCCTGTTCGATAGAGAAGCTAATAATTGGGATAATTCAGACTCAAATATTTGGAGACTTGTTAAATTTGAAATAGAGTTTGCCATGGAAGAGATTATATGGTGTTCTTAATAGATGGTTTTAAGTCACCTTGACAGAAGCAGCTTTATGTCTTCCAATTGTAATTTGAAAACCGAAGGAAAAATTGAGAGACATGCTTAAAATTACTGCAAAAGGTATGAAATGTTACTGTCCGAGCTGTAAAAAAGTTGTTTTCGTTGTGATTTTACCCAAAAGTTTAGCCGTGGAGCTCTGATTACTTCAACATTCCCACTTTGACATGAATGTCTCTTCAGCCCTACTCCAGTAACTTCACGGGCTTAGTTTACCTCCTTGTTCTGAAAGACAGGTAGAGCTAGCTCATGGTTACAGGTTCCAAAAGAGATGAAATGACTTTAGACTTGAATTTGGAAGGTAAAGACTTGGAGTTAGAAGGCCAGACCCTGCCTGTGGAAAAGAGTTTGTCTTCATGGCTCCCCTTCCTACAGGATGGAAAAGGGGAGGAGAGAGGAAACATTTCATGTTTTTGCTATGGTCAAATTGAAGACAAAAACTAACACTTGTAAGACAGGAGAGGAGCATTTAGGTACAAAATCAGTCAAACATTTGTGTATCACTACGTTCGTTGAGCAAATGGAAGCTACCAGACTCAGAAAGCCAGAGATGCTAATGGAACTGACATTAGTAACCAGGGTTTTCTACTGAGTTCAGTGCCCAGGGTAACTTTTAATAACAATCACCCTCCTCTCCACACACACATTTTTCTCAGGACTGGAAAGCTCAGGCAGCCCAGGATGAATAATGCTGGGAACTGAGGGGAACTGTGACCACAGGTGGGCAGAAGCAGGGATGGGCATTGTGAGCCACTGGGTGGGGCTGTGGGGCGGGGCATTGTGAGCACCTGGGTGGGGCTCTGGGGCGGGGCATTGTGAGCCACTGTGTAGAGCAGGTACTTACTCTAAACCCTGCCTATAGGTAAAAAGATTTTAATGTAAAAAGACCTTCAATTGTCCCACACCTTCCTTCCCTATGGTATACACGCCCTCGGTCTGAGGGATGTGAGGGGTAATGGCACAGGGATCCACCATCTTGTCTTGCCACCCCTCAAGACACAGACATGGCTTCTGTTTATCAGTCCTTATTAAATGTTTATTTCTAAGAAAAAAAAATAAGCTGGTATTTCTACATAAAGGAGAAGTATGGAGCTGTAAAAAAGAGTAAGATGTCTTTTTATTGCTATGGAGTGATTCCCAAGATAGGGTACGCAGAAAAGCAAAGAGAACATGCAGTAATATACACGAAAGAAAGCAGGCGAAATCATGTGTATTTCATTATTTAAAAATAAAAGCCAATGTTGGGGAAGTCTTGATGATGACCTGTGACAGTTTCCTTCTAACTTCACTGGGCAGCCAAAGTGCATATTTTCTCAAAATTTCATTTTGCTATGGGTTCTGCAGAGGATGCTAACTGTGCACTTGTCGCCTTTGAGTTGGAGAAAACTTCGCTTTGTGATTCATTGTGCATTACGTGGTATACAGACTGCTCTTTCATTTTATTCTATCCTCTCAATGTTTCGAGTCAGGTGTAAAATGGGAATTATACTGTGTTACATATGAGGAGGCTGGTTCTAAGAAGAAGACTCAGTACATCAAGAGTGTAAATTCTAGATATATGGCATATAAAACTAGGATTTACAAAAAGGCATGAATATGACCTGCTTTAAATAGTACCGTTTCTAAAAATAAAAATTAAAAAAACTTTTTTTTTTCTTAGCTTACTAAAGCAATTAAGCCTCAGGATGAAAACAGCAATATTAGATAATGAGAAATAAAATGGGGATACTTGTGACACAGTAATGCTTTTTATTGTGAAAAGACAGGGTCTTGCTTTTTCACCCAGGCAGTGGCGTGATCATAGCTCACTGCAGCCTCAATCTTCTAGGCTCAAACGATCTTCCCACAACAGCCTTCCATGTAGCTAGGGATACAAGGGCTCACCGCCACATCTGGTAATTTGTGGATTTTTTCTAGAGACGAGGTCTCACTGTGTTGCCCAGGTTGGTCTCAAACGTCTGACCTCAAGCAGTTCTTCTGCCTTAACCTCCAAAACTGTCAGGATTACAGCCATGGGCCAGCACACCTAGCCCAGAAATGTTCCTAAAAGTCTGAAACAATAAGTTAAATGCTATTAAGAAATATGTAAAAAGATAAACATATACTATGGTATATGAAATGTCACCGTTCAGTCATGGTCACAACAGTGATTAAAATATCCAACAGTTGAGGCAAGTCTGAGAACAGAGAGGGACGTACCAGATTGGTTTGGAAGCCAGAATTAGGATTGTCAGAGCTGGGAAAGCAGAAGCAAGGCAAGAGTGTGCACAGGAGTGGGGCACACAGCCGCTCTGTGGTATGCCGTGTGTCCTCTTTTACGGCAGGCCAGCTCCAGCCCAGCAGATGAGAATCACCTGATGGGTGGAAAGAGTGGATTCAGGTAAAATCTCAGGCCGTGCATCATAATTGAGAGACTTCAAATGTTTGCCTTATGGGTCATAAAACTACTAAAAGTGACAACATAGGGATAATAGAGTAGGTCAGTAACTGCGGTAAGCCACCTGCGACCTCTCCATAGCCTCAACCATCCCACAGAAACACTGGGGCAGCAGGATTTCACAGAGCTTGTGAGAAGAGCTCTCGGTCCAGGGTCCATGGCATGATCTAGAGGACTCAGGTGTTCCGGGATCTCTCTCCCCGGGGAACCAACCACATGATTACCTCAGACCTATCACTCCTCACTGTGGTGACTGGGCAAGTCACTCAAAATGTCTGAATTTGAATTCACTGAATTTGAAAATACGGGTTGTAGCCCCTTCCCTGCCTGTCCCTTGGGGCTGACTTGGGGATCAGGGAAATCAGAGATCTCTGTCATGAGCTGGAAATCATGTGGCCATAGAAACTGTGAAGTCACTTTCCATCCTAACCCTGCGCAGAGACATGCAAGCTCCCTCTCTGTATTCAACCACTACCAAGTGTCTGGATTATTCTTCTCGACATTGATTAAACATTTTAGGGCATTTCCAAAAACATGAGTCTATTTAAGTCTTTATCTGCATTTCATTCTTTTAGACACTATAACCTTAGGTCTATAGCCTAGATCTACTAATGTTTCCACATCTGAGAATAGGGAAGAGAGGCACAGATGGGTTCATATCCCTCTCCCAGGTATGTGCAGATTCTAAGTAGGATTTGAACCCAGCCTATTTTTTTGGTAACTTGGAACTTCTGCTTCTCTGTATTGTCTCATCTGAATAAAGGTATCTGCCTGCACAAACAAATCTTCCTAGAACCCAGATCTAATTCAGGTCGCATTGAAAAGCAGTCGGTGAAAACTAGGATCAAAAGTTTAAACTGAGAACGTTTTTACTAATTTCTCCGTGGTCCTCTGCCAGCTAAGATGTCAAGCACTGTCTTATTATGATGCATTTCTGCCTTGCAGGTTTGGCTGGCCGCGCCAGGAGCTGGGCAGCAAAAAGGAGGCGTAAAAAAATTTGCCGCAAAGAAAATGAAGGTAGTGTGGAAATTATATCATTAAGTTTATTGAAGCAAATAATTTGTTTACTCATCCAGTGTCCCATATGAGAGAAACTCAGTAAATGCTATGTCAGGTTCTTCATTTATTTCGTTCGTGCCCATTGAAATGCATTAAATCAACGGGTGATGCAACTACACAAGGAAAGTTACATTGACAACTTAGAGTTTGGTTCTTTTTGTTTCTTTTATTTTTGTGAGAAAGTCTCATTTTGTCACCCAGGAGTGCATTGGTGCAATCACAGCTCATTGCAATCTTGACCTCCCCATGTTCAGCTGATCCTTCTACCTCAGCCTCCCAAGCAGTTGGCTGTAATGCACATGCTTTATACCAAGCTATTTTTTTTTTAATGTTACTTTTTTTGTAGAGACAGGATTTCACCATGTTTCCCAGGCTTGGTTCACTTTTGATAGTAAAGGACATCTCGAATATTTAGAGGTTTGCTTTCAGTTTGGGCAATTATGAATACAGCAGTTATAAACCTTCTTGTGTCTTGTTTGGAAACATAATTTTTACAGTGTAACTAAGGCAATGCTAAAATTATGGTTACTTGCTTGTATGGTAAGACTACCTTTCTTTGTGAGAATTTTGGTAGACTTTACCGGTGAATTCATCTGAAGGTAGTGTTTTGTTGTTTTTTTTTTTTTGAGAGGATACTAATTATTGATTCAATTTCTAAATTAAATATAGACCTATTCAGATGATTCATTTATCCTGAGAAGACTTTTAACCTTCTGAAACAGATCCAGAAAATTAGCTCATTTCATATAATGTATCCAAGTGTGAGCACAGATGTGTTTACAGTTACGCATCCAGCATCCATCGTGACTTCCTTCTTTTCCTTTCTGGGTAGAAAAGGTAGAGGTTTGTCAATGTTTTTGATCTTTTCAAAGAACTAGTTTTTGGTTTTGTTGATTTTCTCTGATTTCCTGTTTTTTATTCCTTTAATTTCTGCAATCATTATGTATTTTTCCTCTATTTGACATTACACTGCTGTTTTTCTTTCATTGCCCAAGGTGGAAGCTAGATTATGAATTTAGGTTTTTCTCATTATTGACACAGCATCATGAATGTTGTGCATTAAAATGCACAGTTAATAACTCAAATAATAAATATGTATGCTTTACTACAATTTTAAAAATACAACAGGATAGATGATAATTGTAGTATCAGGATATGCAGATCCACAGAAGTTAAATAATCCTGTAAAGTTTCATAAAATGATGGGATTCGCATAGACCTTCACGTGGGCAGCAGGTCTGATGAGATGCTCTCGCTGAGCCATGCAGTGTCTTTCTGTGTTAACCGGTTCTCAGACTATTTCACAGTGATGAGGTTGCCGTAGCTGGAAAGCCCAAGGCTCTTTTGTTTCTCCTTTACCTTCTGTCAACACCAGGAAGAGTGGTCCAGGAGCAGCTCAGTCCATGCTTGTCAGCAGCGCAGCTCCATACACTGCAGCTTCGGTCCACATCCCCCAAGCCTCCTCGTGGGATTCCTCAGCAGCACCAGTGCACTATCTCTCTGTTTCCTCCTAGCTCCCGTTCAAGACCCGGAGGAGGGTATGACCGAGGGGCCTCTGGACGAGACGTCACCTCACGTGGTAAGATGCATTTCTTTGTCTTGAAGAGAGATGTCTTTGGGGCTTCTAGAATATCAAGGGACTATCATTTTTGACTGCCGCTGTGAATCCGGCCTCAGCTGTCATGGACTCCAGCTACCAGTCACTGGAGCTTATGACCAACTGAGGCCTGATTGATGATGTCGGACAAAAGGTGACATCACTGACAACAAGCTAGTAGTGAGCCTATTTCTCAGTAGCAACATTTTCTTCCTGAGAAACAATTTTGTGTTTGGCAGCCAACATGGACTTGCTCAATATCCCATGGAAACCCAGGTTCTTGGAAGGTGGACTTCTTTAGGAAGGCCCCTCGGCCTATTAGCTCTAGAGCCGGTCAGATTGCCCATTCTCCTTTTCATCCTGGAGGGGGCGGTCTCTGCGTGCTCCCAGCTCCCACCAGGTCTTTACATGATCATCCCGTGAATCATGAGGACTGGCTCCTTCCTCTTCTCCAGGGTGTGGGGTTTCTGGGGTTCAGAAACTGCTCTTCTGAGCACCCACATTCATCTCATCTCGGGATTAGGAGCTGCTGCAGGAGGAGAACCGGCAGAAGCTGGGCCTGAGCAGCTCAAGCAGGTGGAGGATGAAAAGAATTTTTTCAGTTAGATATTCAGGAGAGCTGCCTGCCTGGGCACTGCAGGACAGCCTACTGCTGGGCCAGCCCATTGCCCTCTTTCTTAGGGAACCCGCCACCCCCCGCTGTCCCATGTCAGTGCTCTTAGCCTGAATTTATAAGAGGAATCCACGGGTCTGTGGACTTAGATGGAAGACACCACTATTTTCACTGCAATTTACATTTAATGTAAATACAATGTAGCACTGCTTCCATTATGAACGTAGTCTTAAGCCATGGTGCTGGCAGTCCCTGCGCCTTTGTCACCTGGAGAAATGGCCAGTTACCCTGTCAGGGTCATGGCTGAGCTCCTTGGCCTCGTGATTGCCAGGCCTGCGCTGAGTTTGCTATCTGATGTGCTACCTGGTGTCACATGGCTTCCTGAGTGATGGCAACTGCATTTCTCTATACTGGTTGCCTGGGTGATTCCTTATGTTTATTTCATGCCTGTTAAAACATTGTCATGAGAAGGAGTCCCTAATCCTCTCTATAGACTGTCAAGGGGTCCCTAGACTAATGTCATAGCCCCTGTCATAGATCCTATCTTAGGCCTCCACGTGGCAGGCCAGAAGGCCTGACCCACCTCGGGATGGGCTGGGAGTTAATTCCAAAGTCAGGGTAGGAGTCGCCTTCGAGTGCATGTGGTTGCAGGTTTATCTGCAGATGCAAGGGTTGAGTGATGGGGACCCCGTGTACACCCTCACAGGGCACTGGCCTTGCTGTCTGGGAGTGGTCCCCCAGAGAGCAAGAGGCTTGGTGTGGATGAGGGCTTGGAGTCCCCTAGGAGTCAGCCTCCCCGCAGCTTCACACACTAGATGGATGCCTGTGTGCAGAAACTTCATTTGTCTCCCCCCACATGGAGAGGGAAGTGACTGGGGGAGGCAGTTTCATAACTGGCTCTTAGCTGCCCCAGGGACAGGTGTGTGCCATCTCGGGCATCTACTTACTTCTTGCTCCTGCCCAGGTGGCCGACATGAAGAAGAGAATTGACAGTGTGGGGTGCCTGGAAACCACAGAGGAGGTGAAGGGGCAGGTCCGAGAGGACCTGGAGGGCCTGAGCCAGCGGTACGAGGAGATGGAGAATACCAAGACATGGCTGCAGCAGGAGCTGGACAACCAGTGCCAGAGGGTGTGCAACCTGGAGGAGAAGCAGAAGAGGTTTGACCAGGTATGTAGCCATTCACCCCATCCTTTGCATTTCCTCTCCTTCCGGCACTCAGCCCAAGACGAGGGCCTCATCAGAGAAAGCCTGGGCTCCCTCGAGATTTTGCACAGGCGGGGTCGTGCGGGGCCAGCACTTAGAGGACCCCTAGTCTCTGGCTTGTTGAGGGGCTGGGGGAGAAGGCCAGCGGAAGAGGGTGTCTTCATGGGTTGAGGAGGAACTTTTCTTTTTCAGATTTTCTATAACGAACTGGTTTTCCTGCCATTTACACCATTTATTTGTGCACTCATATTGCTTCCTTATTCCAAAAGAGCTGCTCTGCCCTGCTGGGGGCTGTAGCTCGGAGCCTGTGGGGCTGAACCTCATGGTTCCCGTCTTTCCCAGCTCCTGGCAGAGGAGAAGACCATCTCTGCCAAGTATGCAGAGGAGCGTGACTGGGCCAAGGCCGAGGCCCGAGAGAAGGAGACCAAGGTGCTGTCGCTGGCCCGGGCCCTGGAGGAAGTAATGGAGCAGAAGGTGGAGCTGGAGCGGCTCAACAAGCAGTTCCGCATGGAGATAGAGGACATCAGGATCTCCAAGGGCCAGAGCGTGAGTGCTGGGCCTGGCAGCCAGGCCTTGGGAGGGGCCCGAGCGGGGTCATCACAGAGGGCAACACATACACAAGTTCCGGGTCTAGCAGTCCCAGGTCCCTGCCAGTCCCTTTGCTCCTGACTTGGGCTCTCTGGGGCTCAGGTCTATAAGCTGAAGTCCAGGCCGGCTCTGAAGCAGCAGGTGGAGGAGATGGAGACCCAGATGGAGGAGCTGGAGGATAAGCTGCGGGACACTGAAGACGCCAATCTGCAGCTGGAGGTCAACCTGCAGGCCATGAAGGCCCAGTTTGAGCAGAACCTGCAGGACCGGGACAAGCAGATTGAGGAGAAGCAGCAGCAGCTGGTCAGACAGGTATGCGTGGGCTCCTGCTATCCCACGGTGGTCAGGGTTGCCCTGGACCACGCCTCCCCTCCCGTCTTTCCTGTCCAGTCCCCTGTCCCTCGGGTCAGTAACTCACGTTCTTATTGTTATCAGAGTCAGTAATCCCCACTGGCTTCTGGAGGCCCCGCAGATCCTCTTCAGAGCCAGAGCAGGGTCTCTGAGTGGGTCCAGCTTCCCAAGCTGTCGGCATTCCTTCCTCCAGGTGAGGGAGATGGAGGCAGCGCTGGAGGACAAGAGGAAGTGGCACTCCATGGCAGTGGCCACCCGGAAGAAGCTGAAGATAGACCTGGAGGCGCACATCGACTTGGTTAACAAGAAGGGGGATGAAGCCGTCGAGCAGATGCGGAAGTGTCAGGTGAGGGCGGGCGGTGCCCAGCTGAGCCAGCTACATGCGAGGGTGCTGGGGCAGGAACCTGGCAGGGTGGCGCCTCTTGGGGAGGTTTTGGGTGCTTCCAGTCCAATCTCACTGATGGAGACACAGGCTCAGAGGTGAGTGGAAACAATAGTCCAACAGCAAACTTGCAGAACGGTGCATGGCTGAGTACATGAAACACAGAAGCAAACAGGCAAGTGCAGGCCCAGGCATGGGGGAGTTCAGAAGGCCTCACCCAGTGCAGACTCCAGCATCAGCCGCGTCCTGACGCTCCAGCCTTCTGGGCTCCGGCATGATGGTTCCGAGAAGCAGCCTAGAGTGTGGGATACATACTTGGAAATTTTCACGTCACCAATAATTGAAGAACAATGAACACATAAAAAGAGCTCTGATATGTCATCTCATGTAGCAAGAATAACCCTAGATTTAAAATAGTAGTCTTGCTCTTTTGCCCAGGCTGGAGTGCAGTGGCGCAATCTTGTGTCACCACAACTTCTGCCTCCTGGGTTCAGGCGATTCTCCTGCCTCAGCCTCCCGAGTAGCTGGGATTATAGGTGCATGTTTCCATGCCTGGCTAATTTTTTTATTTTTAGTAGAGACAGTGGTTCACTGAGTTGGCCAGGGTGGTCTCAAACTCCTGACCTCGTGATCTGACAGCCTCGGCCTCCCAAAGTGCTGGAATTACAGGCGTTAGCTGTTGTGCCTGGGCAAAAAAAAATCTGTAAAACCTAACTGTGGGCAAGGTTGTGGGGCACAGATACTCTGCTGTTGGCATGTTCTGCTGCTGTGGTCTGGCTGCACACACCCATTCATGAGCTTTGGCTTGGGGAATCTGTTTTTGGAGTTATCTGCAAATGGAAAAAAATAGTATTTGACAAAAATCTCTAGCATTAAAACGAATAGGAGGTACGTAACAAAGGGAAAGGTGTTTCCTGCCTGTGGTGGGGACACCTGCCAGGCTGGGCACTGGTTTCAAGTGGCAGGTGTGCATTAGGGGTGGCACCGTGGGCACTGGTCTCTGGTTTCAAGTGGCAGGTGTGCATTAGGGGTGGCACCGTGGGCACTGGTCTCCAGCCTACAGAGGGGACTGAAGTGGAAAATAAAGCTCAGCCTGGGCCTGCGTCCACAGTGACCAACACTGTCAGCGTGCGTTATGAAGTGGGACACAGATTTTTGTTTTTCTCCCTGTCACCACAGTTGCTTTTTCTCCCTGTCACCACGGTTAGTTGGTTAAATATCGAGCAGAGCACAGCCAACATCCCTGTGTATGAGATGACGCGGGAGGGTGGGGGTGGAGGGCCAAGGGCCAAGGGCCAAGGACCTGGGTGGGGTGCCAAGCCTCTGTCCCTGACCCAGGCCAAAGAGAATGAGAGGAACCTGAAGAGCCTGGAGGCCCAGAGGAAGCAGTTGCAGGAGGTGGGTGGGGCGGCAGTGGAGAGCGGCACTGCTGCCCTGCAGCCAGCAGGTGGCAGCACAGGGCTTTCAGCAGAGGGCAGAGCTAGGGTCCGACTCAGCTCCAGGAATTGGCTGGGGACAGCTCTCACGTTACAAAAGGATTCCCTCCAGAGTTCTGTTCCATAGCTGGCCTCCCTGGTATGAGCAGAGTGTGTGAGTGAAATGCCTCACATCAGATGAGGCTCCGTGGCTGCCACCACCTCCTACCGTGACCGTGTCCTGGTGATGGAGGGTCTCAGCATCCCCGTGGCTGCCCTGTCCGTGTCGCACCTGAGCCAGTCCTGAAGTGTTCCCTGGGTCTAGAGGGTGCCCTGCAGTGTAACTTGCCAGGTGTGAGTGCGTCCAGGGTACAGCCATCCTGCCTGCAGGCTCCGGAGCTGACTCCAGGCTCTGGCTACCCAGAACAGGGCTGGGGCAGCAGTGAGCGACTCTGTCCATGTGGTCTGCCCTGGTTAGGCCAGGACTCTTGTTAGTCATCAACACACCCTGGCACCTGGCTTGATTCCTAGCACTTAAATGTAGTTGAGTTTTATAAACATACAGTGCTTTTAAGCTGTGACTTTAGGGGGCCACCAGCCCTGTGAGCTAGAGGAATCCTGGAGGAAGAGCTTTCTGGGGAAGTGGGGCTGGGGAAGGGCTTGAGAGGAGGGTGCCCAGGGCTGGGAAGGATGGTCTTGTGGGGCTGTGGCTGCCTTCAGGTCACATTCTGGATTTTTGTGGTAGGAACTGGCAGCCGCGGAGCGTGCCAAGCACCAGGCCCAGCAGGAGCGGGACGACTTGCTCGTGGACCTGGACCACCAGCGCCAGATGGCGTCCCACCTGGAGAAGCTGCAGCAGAAGTTTGACCAGGTGTGTAGCCATCCACCCCATCCTTTCCATTTTCTCTTCTTCTGGCACTCAGCCCAAGGTAGGGGCCTCATCAGAGAAAGCCTGGGCTCCCTTGAGACCTTGCCCGGGAGGGGTCATGCGGGGCCAGCACTTAGAGGACCCCTAGTCTCTGGCTTGTTGAGGGGCTTGGGGAGAAGGCCAGCGGAAGAGGGTGTCTTCATGCAGTGGGTTGAGGAGGAACTTTTCCTTTCTGGGTTTTCACGTTTTTTTCAGATTTTCTATAATGAACTGGTTTTCCTGTCATTTACACCATTTATTTGTGCATTCATATTGCTTCCTTATTCTAAAAGATCTGCGGGAAGCTGAGGGAGATGTCTATCCCGGGGCGGGATAGACATCGAGCATGGAACTGCAGTGACCGGGTCCAGCCTGCTGCGTTTTGGGGAGAAAGCTGGACCAAAGGCACACACACACTGTGTCGTTCTTGTGTCATCTCTGGTTGTTGCGCTGTGCTAGTGGGGTTGAGTTACTGCAGAGACTGTGGGGCCTGTATACTCTAAAGCATGCACTCTTGACTGGGCATGGGCTTATATGCCTATAAGCCCAGAACTTTGGGAAGCCGAGGCGGGCGGATCACCAGGTCAAGAGTTCGAGAGCAGCCTGGCCAACATGGTGAAACCCCATCTCTACTAAGAATACAAAAATTAGCATGGGCCCAGCTGCTCTGCCGGGCCAGAGCGTGACCGGGCCAAGGCCGAGGCCGGAGAGAAGGAGACCAAGGCGCTGTCGCTGGCCCGGGCCCTGAAGGAAGCCATGGAGCAGAAAGTGGAGCCGGAGTGGCTCAACAAGCAGTTCCGCGTGGAGATGGAGGACCTCATCAGCTCCAAGGGCAAGAGCGTTAGTGCCGGGCCTGGCAGGCCTTGGAAGGGGCCCGAGCGGGGTCATCACAGAGGGTCAACACATACACACGTTCTGGGTCTAGCAGACCCAGGTGGTCCCTGCCAGTCCCTTTGCTTCTGACTTGGGCTCAGGTCCATGGGCTGAAGTCCAGGCGGCTTCTGGAGCAGCAGGTGGAGGAGTTGAAGACCCAGCTGGAGGAGCTGGAGGATGAGCTGCAGGACACTGAAAACGCCAATCTGCGGCTGGAGGTCAACCTGCAGGCCATGAAGATCCAGTTCGAGCGGGACCTGCAGGACCGGGATGAGCAGAGTGAGGAGAAGCAGCAGCAGCTGGTCAGACAGGTGTGCGTGGGCTCCTGCCACCCCACGGTGGCCAGGGTTGCCCTGCTTCATGTAGGCTTCCATTTCCTCCTTCACCTGGATTGTGTTAGGGCCCTGGACCACGCCTCCCCTCCCCTGTCTCTCCTGTCCAGTCCCCTGTCATTTGGGTCAGCAACTCACCTTCTTAGAGTTCTTCGAGTCAGTAATCGCCACTGGCTTCCGGAGGCCCCGCAGATCCTGCAGAGGCACCTGGGTTCAGAGCCAGAGCAGGGTCTCTGAGTGGGTCCAGCTTTCCAAGCTGTCGGCGTTCCTTCCTCCAGGTGCGGGAGATGGAGGCAGAGCTGGAGGACGAGAGGAAGCGGCACTCCATGGCAGTGGCCGCCCGGAAGAAGCTGGAGATGGACCTGGAGGCTCACATCGACTCAGCCAACAAGAACCAAGATGAAGCCATCGAGCAGCTGCAGAAGTGGCGGGTGAGGGCGGGCGGTGCCCAGCTGAGCCAGCTACATGCGAGGGTGCTGGGGCGGGAACCTGGCAGGGTGGCGCCTCTTGGGGAGGTTTTGGGTGCTTCCAGTCCAATCTCACTGATGGAGACACAGGCTCAGAGGTGAGTGGAAACAATAGTCCAACAGCAAACTTGCAGAACGGTGCATGGCTGAGTACATGAAACACAGAAGCAAACAGGCAAGTGCAGGCCCAGGCATGGGGGAGTTCAGAAGGCCTCACCCAGTGCAGACTCCAGCATCAGCCGCGTCCTGACGCTCCAGCCTTCTGGGCTCCGGCGTGATGGTTTCGAGAAGCAGCCTAGAGTGTGGGATACATACTTGGAAATTCTCACGTCACCAATAATTGAAGAATAATGAACCATAAAAACAGCTCTGATATGTCATATTATGTAGCAAGAATAACCCTAGGTTTAAAATACATTTGAGTCAGTGTCTTGCTCTTTTGCCCAGGCTGGAGTGCAGTGGCACAATCTTGAGTCACCACAACCTCTGCCTCTTGGGTTCAGGCGATTCTTTTGCCTCAGCCTCTTGAGTAGCTGGGATTATAGGTGCGTGTCCCCATGCCTGGCTAATTTTCGTATTTTTAGTAGAGACAGTGGTTCACTGAGTTGGCCAGGGTAGTCTCAAACTCCTGACCTCGTGATCTGACAGCCTCGGCCTCCCAAAGGACTGGGATTACAGGCGTTAGCTGCTGTGCCTGGGCAAAAAAAAAAAATCTGTAAAAGCTAACTGTGGGCAAGGTTGTGGGGCACAGATACTCTGCTGTTGGCATGTTCTGCTGCTGTGGTCTGGCTGCACACACCTAGTCCTGCGCTTTGGCTTGAGGAATCTGTTTTTGGAGTTATCTGCAAATGGAAAAAAAGAGTATTTGACAAAAATCTTTAGCATTAAAACAAGTAGGAGGTGAGTAACAAAAGGAAAGGTGTTTCCTGCCTGTGGTGGGAACACCTGCCAGGCTGGGCACTGGTTTCAAGTGGCAGGTGTGCATTAGGGGTGGCACTGGGCACCTGTGTCCGGCCTACAGAGGGGACAGAAGTGGAAAATGAAGCTCAGCCTGGGATTGCGTCCACAGTGACCAACACTGTCAGTGTGCGTTATGAAGTGGGACACAGATTTTTGTCCTCAGTTGCTTTTTCTCCCTGTCACCACGGTCAGTTGGTTAAATATCGAGCAGAGCACAGCCAACATCCCTGTGTGTGAGATGACGCGGGAGGGTGGGGGTGGAGGGCCAAGGACCTGGGTGGGGTGCCAAGCTCAGGTCAAAGACTGCACGCGTGAGCTGGATGACACCCGCACCTCTCGCGAGGAGATCCTGGCCCAGGCCAAAGAGAATGAGAGGAACCTTAAGATCATGGAGGCCAAGATGATCCAGCTGGAGGAGGTGGGTGGGGCGGCAGTGGAGAGCGGCACTGCTGCCCTGCAGCCAGCAGGTGGCAGCACAGGGCTTTCAGCAGAGGGCAGGGCTAAGGTCCGACTCAGCTCCAGGAATTGGCTGGGGACAGCTCTCAACGTTACAAAAGGATTCCCTCCAGGGTTCCGTTACATAGCGGGCCTCCCTGGTGTGAGATTGTGTGTGAGGGAAATGCCTCACATCAGATGAGGCTCCGTGGCTGCCACCGCCTTCTACCGTGACCGTGTCATGGTGACGGAGTGTCTCAGCATCCCCGTGGCTGCCCTGTCCGTGTCGCACCTGAGCCAGTCCTGAAGTGTTCACTGCGTCTAGAGGGTGCCCTGCAGTGTAACTTGCTGGGTGTGAGTGCACCCAGCTTACAGCCGTCTCCTGCCTGCAGGCTCCGGAGCTGACTCTGGGCTCTGGCTACCCAGAACAGGGCCGGGGCAGCAGTGAGCGGCTCTGTCCATGTGGTCTGCCCTGGTTAGGCCAGGACACTTGTTAAGTCATCAACACAGCCTGGGACCTGGCTTGATTCCTAGCACTTAAATGTAGTTGAGTTTTATAAACATACAATGCTTTTAAGCTATGACTTTAGGGGGGCACCAGCCCTGTGAGCTAGAGGAATCGTGGAGGAAGAGCTTTCTGGGGAAGTGGGGCTGGGGAAGGGCTTGAGAGGAGGGTGCCCAGGGCTGGGAAAGATGGTCTTGTGGGGCTGTGGCTGCCTTCAGGTCACATTCTGGATCTCTGTGGCAGGAACTGGCAGCCGTGGAGCGTGCCAAGCGCCAGGCCCAGCAGGAGCGGGACGAGCTGGCCGACGAGATCGCCAACACCCACGGCAAAGGGTGAGCTAAGTAAGGGGGCAGAGTTGGGAGGGACCAGGTGTGTCCCTGGGCTGGGCCCCTCACTCCTCCCACCCACCTAGCCAGCAGATGCACAGGCCACGTGCCGCCGCTTGAGGGAATATGTCCAGGCAACTGGACATGAAAGATCACTCTCCAGCTTCTTTGCTGGGTGTCGAGGGTGTGGTGGCATCCTACTGCCACCTTCCTCCTGCCCTGCTTATACCCTCCAGCCAGGGCCCAGCCCTCCCCTAGGTCACCAGCCCTCCTCCTGCAGATCAACCAGATCAACACTGACCTGAACCTGGAGCGCAGCCACGCCCAGAAGATCGAGAACGCTCGGCAGGAGCTGGAGCAGCAGAACAAGGAGCTCAAGGTCCAGCTGCAGGAGATGGAGGGCTCTGTGAAGTTAATGTACAAGGCCTCCATCACTGCCCTCGAGGCCAAGATCGCACAGCTGGAGGAGCAACTGGAGAATGAGACCAAGTACGTGCTCCTGCCCCTGCTTCCACCCCCACTGGCCTGGAAAAACCTCCAGCCCCTCTAGTCCTTCCCAGATTTGGGTCAGCAACCAGCTGTGTAGCTGTGTCTTCTCAGTCCTGGGGGCTGTTTTCCTCCCTCCTGATGGGGCCCTCATCCCTTCCCCACTGGATGGGTGGTGGGGGGAGCTTGTGGGGTTTGAACAGGATCATCTGTTCCACCTCTAAAGCCAGGAGCTTTGGTGGCTATGTCTAAGGATGAGGAGGTAGAGGGCGGTCCTGCCCACCAGGACAGCTGATCTCTGGGCTCAGCAGGACTGAGACAATGGGAGTTACACCAGGCCCCAAACCTCTTTTCCAGCTACATAGATGCTCTTTGAGACCTGTTTCCTCATTTGTAAATGGGGCTATTTGCAGTGCCCCTTGTAAGAAGCCAGGCACGTCATAGGCGTCCAGCAAAGGCCTCCCTAGGTGATCCCTAGATGCCAGTGAGGCCCGGGGAATGGGTGGGGTGACCAGATTAGGATGTGTTGGCCTGACCCTCTGAAGGAGGGTGTTCCCTCTGAGCCACCTTGTCTACCACACAGGGAGCGCCAGGCAGCCTGTAAGCAGGTGCGTCGGACAGAGAAGCAGCTGAAGGATATGCTGCTGCAGGTGGATGATAAGCGGAGGAACGCCGAGCAGTACAAGGACCAGGTTTGGGCGCTGGGGGCATCCAGAGGGGCAGCAGGTGGGGCAGTGGGGCTGGTGGGCCGCACGCCCAGAGCTTCTAACCAGGGTCCCGCATCACACGTCCATTTCCTGTGACACTGGGCAAGGGGCTTTGCAGCAGAGGATCTTATTTTCTGAGATTCTCATTTCTTACCTCTTTTTCATGGGAATTTTTGTTATTTTGGAGACTTCACTCTGATTGCCCAGGCTGGAGTCCAATGCACAACCTTGGCTTACTACAGCCTCCGCCTCCTGGGTTGAAGCGATTCTCCTGCCTCAGCCTCCCCAGTAGCTGGGATTACAGGAGCCTGCCACCATACCTGGCTAATTTTTCTATTTTTAATAGGGATGGAGTTTCACCATGTTGGTCAGGCTGGTCTCAAACTCCTGACCTCAGGTGATCCACCTGCCTCGGTCTCCCAAAGTGCTGGGATTACAAGCATGCACCACCATGTCTGGCCTTCATGGGGCCTTTTTTTAAGCATCAGTAGTCAGTATTGGATGTGAATTTCCTGCCGTGGGATAGAAGGTGCCTGTCTGTGTGAACCCGCTGTGGTGTCACCTGTTTTATGAGTTGGAACAGAAGGTGGCATTTTACACTTTTCTGCCTTTCCTGTTGTAAGTGTTCCTGTTTGCCTGAACTGTTTGTGTGCTGCTGTTGTGTATGAAGATGTCTGACCACTAAATATTTTGCGGGAAGATGTTTTTGAGAGCGTTCCTGTCCAGCTGAGCTGTGGCTCCCAAGGCTCCGCCTTGCTTCTTTCTGGTGGGAGCAGCCAGGCGCCTGATTTCCCTCTCGAATTTGCTTTGGGATTTGTGTGCTGTGCTGCGGCCTCCCTGGCCAGGGGAGCACAGCACACAAACTCCCTGCTGACTCTGCCTCTGCCTCTGCCCCCAGGTGTGGGGACCTGCCGTTTGCCCCGACGAATGCTCGGATGAGGAGGTGGATGGCAAAGCGGATGGAGCTGAGGCCAAACCTTTGAATAAGCCTCCTCTCCTGCAGCCTGAGACACATGGACAGGCGGACACTGCAGCCTCCCCTTCCCAGATCCTGCCGCACGCCTCCCTCGACCTTCTTGGGACTGTTATGAACGTGCCTCCCACCCCCATCCCGTCTCCCTCCAGGCCCGAGGGTAGTTTACCTGCACGGTAGATGCAGTATGGGTTAAAAATCTGCCACCTGCACAGATATTTTTGAAAGCAGAAAAACAAAGTTTTCTTTTTTCCCCTTTCTACTAATAAAAAAAATTCTGAGGCTTTCTCACTGCCTTTCTTTAGAAGAGAGTAGCTCGTCCTCACTGGTCTACACTGGTTGCCGAATTTACCTGTATTCCTAACCGTTTTCTATATGCTGCATTGAGACTTACGGCAAGAAGGCATTTTTTTAAAAAGAAACAAACTCTCAAATCATGAAAGCTGCATATGCCTACAAAGCTCTGAATTCAGGTCCCAGTTACTGTCACAAAGGAGCGGGTGGAACTCCCGCCCTCCCCCCTTTTTATATAATAAAAGTGCCTGAGCATGTGTTGCAGCGGTCACCACTGCAGTATAAGCTGGTCTACAGATGTTTTCCACCATGCGTCACAATAAACAGTGCCGTGTGCTACCAGCTGTGTCTGTAGCATTCGTCTGCGGCAGGCAGGCCCTGGATGGGACTGGGCCTGGCTCCTGTGGCCACTGCCGGCTCTGCATTGTGGGGGAGCCAGACTGGCTGTTGCGTAGGCTGGGCTAGCTGTGGGCAGTTGTGCAGAAAAAGTAAGGTGGAAAGGTGGGCTGGGCCAGATCTGAGGAGGCTGAGAGCATCTTAGAAACCTTGGTTTAAGGCTGGCGTGGTGACTCACGCCTATAATCCCAGCACCTTGGGAGGCCTAGAAAGGTGAATCACCTGAGGTCAGGAGTTTGAGACCATCCTGGCTGACATGGTGAAACCCTGTCTCTATTAAAAATACAAACATTAGCGGGGTGTGGTGTGTGCCTGTAATCCCAGCTACTCAGGAGGCTGAGGCAGGAGAATCAGTCTAACCAGGGAGTTGGAGGTTGCAGTGAACCAAGATCATGCCACTGTACTCCAGCCTGGCAACAGAGCGAGACTCCGTCTAAAAAAAAAAAAAAAAGCTGGACATGGTGGGAGGCTGAGGCAGGAGAATTGCAGTGAGCCAAGATTGTGCCATTAAACTCCAGCCTGAGCAATGAGAGCAAAACTCTGTCCGGGATAAAAAGAAACCCTGGTTTATTTGAGTTCTGAGCACCTACTAAGTGCAGCATGCTGAGCTGCGTTAGGGACAGAGGCACAAAATGGGCCCAGGCCCTAACACGTGGGATCTTTCCTACTTAGTGAACAACACACCTGCTCCATGGAGGGGCAGCCCGGTGCTGCGGACGCCCAGTGGGGATTGGAAGCTCTTCATAGGACTGACAAAGCTTTTGTTCATTCATCCTTTCAACGGAGCCTGAGTGTTAACCAGCCCCTTGCTAGGTGCGGGGAGTAGGAAGGCAATTAAGGCAGATGCTCCTGTGATTGGTTGCAGGGAAGAGGCTTTCCTTGGAGAAGGCTGTGGCATTCTCTGTAATGTGTGCATTTGGCTGGTGGGGTTGCTAGGGAAACCGTGCTGCTACACAGGACACCGTTCAGGCCTCCGACAGAAACTTGTGCAGCCTCTGAGCAGGTTCCCTTTCAGCCCCTGGGCAGGGAGGAGGAAATGACGGGAGAGCTGCTGAGACCGGGCACTGGAGAGCTTTGTGTGGTTCTCTTTTCCTTCAATAACGTTGGAGTTTCAGGCTACAGTCGGTCCATGCTTGTTATACGCCAGACTCTTCTAGGTCAGGTTCCAGCTTCACCACTTCCTGTGACACCGGGCAAGGGGCTTTGCCTCTGTGCTTATTTCTCACCATGGCTCACGTTTCAGGGGTCGGCTTCAGTGGCCTGAGGTTCGAATGCCCTTCTGCTTTCTCCTGGGCACAAGGGTAGTTCATCTGCACCATTGACACAGAATGGTTTAAAAAATCTGACGGGGGGCAGTGGCTCAGGCCTGTAATCCCAGCATTTTGGGAAGCCGAGGCAGGTGGATAAGGTGGATAATCTGAGATCAAAAGTTTATGACCAGCCTGGTGGCCAACATGGTTAAACCCCTTCTCTGCTAGAAATGTAAATTAGCCAGGCGTGGCAGATGCCTGTAATTCCAGCTACTCAGGAGGCTGAGGCAAGAGAATTGCTTGAGCCCGGGAGGCAGAGGTGGCAGTGAACATTGCACTCCAGCCTGGGCGACAAGCGAAACTGAAATAAATGAATGAATGAATAACTGCCACCCACACACATATTTTTGAAAGAAAAAGTATTCTCTTCCTTTCTTGTAGTAAATGATAAAATTCCAAGGCTTTCTCACTGCCTTTCCTTTCAAACCATGTTTAGAAGGATGTAGTTTGACAAGCTTGAAGCAAATATTTATCACCTTATTTGTCAGTGGGATTTAGGTGCTATCTGCTGATTGTCTCCACTGTGTGAGACACCCTGTTGGAGGGAGAATGGCCTTGGTGGGAGCACCTTTTAGTTAACTTCCATCTCCCGATAACTCAAGCAGACAGAACGAGATGCTATTTTTTGGCCAGGTGAGGTGGCTCACACCCGTAATTCCAGCACTTTGGGAGGCCAAGGCGGGGATCACCTTAGGTTGGGAGATTGAGACTACCCCGAACAACATGGCAAAACCCCATCTCTACTAAAAATACAAAATTAGCTGGGTGTGGTGGCGCATGCCTGTAATCCTAGCTGCTCAGGAGGCTGAGGCAGGAGAATCGCTTGAACTTAAGAAGCAGTTGCAGTGAGCTGAGATCATGCCATTGCACTCCAGCTTGGGCAACAAGAATAAAACTTTGTCTCAAAATATATATATTTTTTTCTTCTAATATGCTGTTTCCATTATGACACATCAGTTCCCTTGTAAGTATCAGGTCATGTCCACTATCCCTTGGTACATATATGTATTTGCTTTTAGACCATTTCTTTGGCTTTAATACATCAATAAAGCTGATTCTATTGAAATGCAAAAATAAAAAGGCTGGGTGTGGTGGCCCACGCTTGTAATCCCAGCACTTTGGGAGGCTGAGGTGGATGGATCACAAGGTCAGGAGTTCGAGACCAGCCTGACCAAAGTGGTGAAACCCCATTTCTAATAAAAATACAAAAAAAATTAGCCAGGCGTGGTGGCACA